GTATTGGTTTAAGGCAATTTTCAATTGGGATTTCCAAATTAACAATAGCTTTAACAATGCACTTTTTATTTACATAAGGAACTTGCAATAGCTTTAATGACGCACTTTTTATTTATATAAGGAACTTGTTTTTAGTCTGCATAATTAAAGGATGCGATGCTATTATATCCCGCGCTATTACTAAATTTGTAAATTTATTATAGGATATTTCGCACTATTACTTGATTTGTAAATTGTATTTTTTGGGCCAATCGGGGTTTAATAAATATGCAATGCTAGATTTAAAGGTATCGCGCCCCTAAATTTGTAAGCTATGCTATTATATTTCGCACTATTACTTGATTTGTAACTTGTATTTTTGGGCCAATCGGGTTTTAATAAATATGCAGTGCTAGATTTAAAGGTATCGCGCCCCGCTAGATAAACATTTATTCTATTTTTTATACTACAGTATAGTATATCCAAACTAATTTTCAACATACTTTTGGCATATACAGTATAATACGTAATAGCATGCATACTTGCTATCATATTTTTAATAAAAATTTAAATACCTATATAATTAAAATAAAAACTACATCAATTTACATAGCAGTAAGAATTTTATTGTTAGCAAAATGTGATTTACATATAGGTTATAAACGTGTTAAACTAGTTATATAATTCATCATCGCTGTCTTCCCAATTGTTTCCAAGAGAATTTAAAACTTCAGACATTTTTTCAGATTTGTTAAAAATGTCTTCAAAGAACTTGACAGCATCTTCGGATTTTCTAAATGCATGTTCCATGGTAATTCGGTTTTGTTTTTGTTCTTCGACGGCTATTCTGAATCGTGATCGTAAATCCTCGGTCGCCAATCGAATCTTTTTACGGCTTTGTCTGGTAATACGGTTCGCTTCACGATCAATATATTGAGACTGAACTAATTCATGTTTGATTTTTTTGGCGACCTTTCGGGGTATGACTCTTCCCATATCATACAAAAGATAAGCACATACACCAATTCCTTATGAATAAATAAGATCAGTTAAACACGAATCTTTAAATAAATACAAGATATCTAACAAATATACTTACCAGCAATTCCTACCAAAGACAACATAGCTTTGCCACGAATGTTAAACATACCCATGAAATCATAAATTCTCCATAAGCTGGAAAACGCATTGAATTTAGAAAAGGCATAAATTACAGTACAACTTGATAAGCCGACATATGGGAACCGATCATTGAAATTTTGAGTTATATCTAAATCAAAGAAATCAGATAATGCTATAGGGATGGTATTGATGATTCCACGTCTGTACATTCTTTCAAGGTCAATCTGACAAGGTTCTCCACTCAAATTTTCTGCCAAAGATTGAATCCTATAAATGCAATTCGCAGTCTCTTCTTTTGCTTTCTGTTCGGAAGAATAAACTCCTTTCGAAATCTCTTCAAGCATAGCATCACGAACATCGTTAGCATATGCCCACACATACATTAAGCCACGATATTCGATATTAGCGGCAGACGAGTCAATGCTATAAATAGCATCTTCTAACCGTTTTTTGGTAAATAACATGATAGAATCACATGTATCATCAACGCATTTACTGGCTTTCGAAGTGATAGATTTTTCATCATTACAAAGTCGCTCAAAAGCTTCTCTTCCAGATTCGAGTTCATTAAATGCCTTTTCAGCATCATTGGTTGCTATTTCTCTGTTGAATTCAGACAGTACACCAATATCATTTAAAATATTATCGATATAATGCCTAGCAGGAGACAGCTTAGATTTAGATCTCTTTTTGAGAACAAAGTTACGCAAAGATTCTTCGAGGCGATTAAAGTCATCAATCCTCTGTTTATCAATAGGTGTTGACGAATTATTGATATTATCACTAATTTCTTGCTTTTCGATTGGAATGGCGGTAGATGTTACAAAATGTACTAGATCTTCGGCATGTTCGTAAGTACGTGGAGAAACTTCTTTAATTTGATCCAGAACGAGACGTTTACATTTTTCTTTATCACGTATGTTGTCGAAACGGTTAACAACAATGAAAAGATAAGCTTTTTCATTGGATGCATTCGATAAAAATTCTTTAGCTGATAAAGTGAAATGGTTTTCGGCACTAACAACAAATATAATAACATCAATTTCTTCCTGCCTAGCGAATAAGGCAGTAGTCTTGAGCGTATCTCGATTCAACCCTGGACAATCAATCAAAGCAATATCTACGACTCCATTGTGCAAGAGACTTTGTTGTACATCACGTTTATCTTTACAATATACCTTAATAGTATCATTATATCAAAAATGTAAGTAATTGAGAAAAAAATTTTTTTAAAACATAAAAATTGAAAATTATCACACCTTAATTTGAGCATATTCATCAATACCATTATTGACTGTATCGAAAAGATTTGATAACTCAATTTTAGTATAAGTTGAAGGATTTTCTCGATTATAAGACTCAATATTTTTTATAGCATGAACTTCTTCATTTCCAGAATTTTCTTGAACATCCAAAACTTCACAGAAAAGAGTAGTACATGGTTGCTGATCCACAGGCATTACATTACGTCGAAGAAGAGCATTAACAAATGTACTTTTGCCTGCGTTAACATCGCCAGCAACTAAAACTTTTGAACTAGTATCAGCTACCCGAGATTCAAGATTTTCAATCCTCTTGATACCTTGAACAAATCGACAATCTAATAATTTAGATACAGAACTTTTATCTAATTGTTCCATAACATTTTCAGCAGATGAGCTATCTCCTTGTTTCAAATTCAATCTAAAGACATTAAGTTTAGTATTAATTTCCTGAGATGATGACATATCTTGTTGAGGTGGTGTATAAAGTTTGGTATGAATTTGCTGTCGAAATTCACTGATAACATGTGGATTTTTTGTCGACCGGTTAAAGGCCATTGAAGACTGTAAATTATTATCATCATATGATGTAAATTGTCGATGGTTGGATAAAGTTTGGCCCAGAAATGGATATTGTATATTCCATCTATCTTTATTTATTTCTCTAAACCGTTCCAAGATAGATTTAGTGTCCGTCAAGAGTCCTAATAGTTTTTTACTTTTATGTGCAAAGACTTGGTTGTTTGAAAGACGTGACGACTGTGGTGTTGGAGGAGGGGTTACTGGAGAAGTGATGGTTGGAAACTTTTCTGAAAGCGGATTTATTTGAACATTAGCTATACGGTTCGTATGTATCGATGGTTGAGAATTTCTTCCCGAAGGAGGAATAGACGACGATGTTTGGAAATTTTTTGAGGATGAAACATTATTATAGAATTGTGAAGACATCTCTTTGTTGTGGGTTTTTTTTTTTTTTGTAGAGAATGAAAAAAAAAAATTTTTTTTTTGATTGCACGTGTTTTTGTGGTTTTTCTAGATATTTTGGTGGCACGAAAAATAGAAAACAGTAACGTGGTCCTGACCGCCCAGCAGGAAGACCTAGCTAATATGGTACGATCCTGTCTGCAGATACAGGTTGTCAAAGTGAAAAATATAAAATAGAATTGAAAAAAATTTTTTTTTTACACTTTTTATATATAGATTATTTCATCAATCAACATATGATTTAACGGGTTAAGAAGTTGATTAGCATAGATTGACGTTTAGAGGGAGGACAAAAAAATTTACTAACCTTATTAGTCTTTTAGAATTTAAAATCGGGAAATTTGTTTATTACTGAGCTGCACTACATATTTACAATTTTAAATCTTGATTTTAAACATCAGATAGTACAATATAGCCCGTAAAATCGAAATCTAATTCATCTACAATATGCTCGATAAGATGGCACACGCTAGCTGCTAGTTAGTAATATTATACGTACGTACGTACGTACTTGCTGACTCTAAATACCAAATACTTTTGTTTCAAGCCGTGTATTAGTATATCAATGTAATATGCATGTGTGTGGGGATAAACTTTTCCCACCCGAGTCAGATTACAAAGAAACTTGTGATTTTCGGATCGGTATCACTTAATGTCGCATATTCCGGAATATTCCGGTTTAATAATACAATATGGTTTCTAAATTAGTCCGTACTCCCCGATAATACGTAGACAATGCTTATATTAAATTTATTATTAGCTTAACTGTTCCAAACAGTTCATCTTATTATAAATCAAACAAGTCAAGTATGCAATCATTAAGACGAATACGTGAAATACGTGAATGAAGTTTAGCTAATTAATACTTTGCACAATAGTGTGTGCATGAATCAATTTTATTTAAAAAACCAATTGCTTTGTACATTAAAAGCTCTTTAATTTCTTTTGATCTAATAAAAAAAATATATAATGATTTCTTTTTTTATTGCGAAATTATTTTGTGATGAAAAGCTAATGAAAAAATCCAAAATTGTGAATGAGAAAATGAAATAAATCAATATAATAATTTAAATATAAATTAAAGAAAGATAAAAAAAAAAAAGACACCAATGAACGCTTACTCTGAACGTTCATAGTGACTGCCTTTGACAACGAAGGACTTGTAAATGTAACTATAGTTAGAGATAAGAACACTGGGAAAAAAAAAAAATTAAATTAATAGATGAGTCACTAATTTCTTCATTCTCTACGCCTAATCTCCAAAAAACAATAAACAATTTATATAATCATTCACTAATTTGAACCTTTGCAAAACGTTCTGAGAGTGCTTCAACTTGATCATTTGTTGATTTGTTTTCGGGTAGAGATTCCTGAACTTCAACTTCTTGCGATTTAGTTCCTGGTGGTGCTTCTATATCTTCAATATCTGAATCTTTATCTTCAAGTGTTAATCGTTCTAAGCTTGGTTCCTCTATCAAATCTTCTTCTTTCTCTGGTTCATCCTCATCTTTCTCTTGTTCATCCTCATTTTTCTCTTGTTCATCCTCATCTTCTTTTTCTGTTTCATCCTCTTCTTCTTCATCACCCAGAATTTCCATATCATCTAATTCACCCAAAGCATCTGCATGACCATGTGCTTCCAATGCAGATATTACCTCCTTGATGGAAGCATCATCTGGGTCGACATTATTACCATTTAACTCTAATGAAACTAAATCCTTAAGATGTGTAAGGATAGCAGAAGAAAGAGCTTTTACACCCTTACAATCGATCTCATTATATTGAAGGTTAAGGGTTTCTAATTTTTTATTGTGACCTATTAAAAGAGTTTCTGCAACAATCACACCACCTTCTGCCGATAATAAACAATCACCAATATTGAGATACTTCAAGTTTGGCCATTGAATAAGTGCTTCAGCAAAAGCTTTTGCTCCTTTTGCTGTAAATGTATTATCTTGAAGATCTAAAATTTCTAAATTTTTACATGCGGCTAATCCTTTACAAAGGGTAATAATACCCTCTGGACGAATACCATTTTGAGGCATACGAATTTCGACCAAAGTACCATGAGCAGCTATAGCGTCAGCGATAGCTTGACTGGACTCATTTTCTAATCTATTACGACCAGCGATAATGGTTGTGAACGAAGACTTACGACCTTCAGTATTATGCTTCTCCGCAGCCGCAAGTAAAGCTTTACCAATTAGCGTTCCACCACGAGGTCCAAGACCAACGTTATTAAGTTTGAGAATCTTTAATGATTTATTATTAGTAAGAAAATCAACCATAGGTTCAGCACCTGCCGGACCAAACGCGTTATCGCTAAAACTTAATTCTACAAGACATTCTTTATCCTCAAGCGCGTCACATATAGCTTTCACTGAGTGAGGAATCTCCTCTCTAAGCCTACCCGTAAAGATGTCTGACGCGTTGACAATCTATATTAGGTGTGTGGTCAAACCGAAATAATAAAGACGCGTTAAAATTGTTGAAAACTAATATAATGCATGATTTGAAATGATTTGAAAATTCAAAACAAAACTATATATTTTTTTCAAAGACTATTTCAGCCTATAGCTCTAACCTTGAGAGAATCTTTCTTTTTTAAAGCCATAGCTATTGCCTGAGCGGCTTCAACACCAAAGGTATTTCCACTTAAAACCACCTCCTCTAAATTCTTAAGTTCCAATATAGAATTCACATATTCTTGTACATCTTCTGCGGTATTTAATTTCAAGCCTTTACCGGCGATAGTGAATATCGTATCAGGAGTCATTATAAATTCACTAACGTATATAAATCAAATACGTGATTTCGAATAGTCTTAGAAGGAGGCGAGGACAAGAACTATAGTAATATAATATTTACAAAAAATACCTATTATACTTAGCACAGTCTTATTCGATTTTCCGATTGTCAAAAAAAAATTGATTGGCAAATTAAACCTTATCATATATCATGTGATGCATATCGCAAAAATCAAAATGTAATTCCAGAATTCTTAGTACGTACAGTATTTGAAACATCAAAATTTATATTATTATTTGTAACAATTAATCTCATAAAGATTCAAATTTCATCTTTCCATTTTCAACTCCATACCCATTAATCCAATCTTTTACTGAAATTTTATTCTTTCCTTCCATTTTAACGCTTCGACATTCAATTAACTTATCATCATTACAGATAACGTATATCGAATCTAATGATTTCGAATCATAAATAATTGTACCCGGGCTATAATTGACTTTTATATTTGCAGTTTTATTTCTGATCTTTTGTTGTTTAAGTTCAGAAGGTAAAGAGATATTGTGTAATTGTATACGTTTCTCAATAAAATTTGTGGTTATTGAATACTGTAAAGAATTTTTATAGGTTAAGAAGGTTAAGAAGGTTAAGAAGGTTAAGATAAAAATAAACCTAAATAAATTTTAAAATATAAACTTAAAAACAAAAATAAAAAATACATAAAATATATATAACCTGATGAGATATAGCACGATATAGTTTATCTAATCGATCCGCAGTTATTTGATTCCACTTAATTTCAGCCATATCTTTTGAAATTTTTGGCGCTTTTGTGGCTTTTGTTGTATCTTGTTCTTGTGCATTAGCCTAAAATGTAATATAATAAATAGTATAATCTGATAAATCAGAAATTGAAAAATTAAAATAATTTACTTGAAAATAATCAAGATATCGAAGAGTATCGACTAATAACTCAGCACCTTCCGCAGCAAGAATTGACTCAAGTGACTGGTAAGTGGATTCAGAAGGAATGGCCTATAAAGATAAATGAGAAAAATTCATAATTTTTTTTTCTTGTAAACTTTTGATAAAAAAAAAAGACAAACCACACTAATCTGCCTTAAAATTTTTCCAGCATCGAAAATTTCAGGATGAAGCTCTTGAATTGTAATTCCAGTTTCTTGATCACCATTTAAAATAGCATATTGAATTGGAGCTGCTCCACGATATCTGAATATGATACACAACGGTAATTCAAAGGCATAAGCCTCTCTAAAGGCCAGAAAATAACTAAAATAATAAATAAATGAATTATGTACTTTGGTAATAATGAAGGATGAACGTTCATCGATCCTTTCTTAAAGGATTCAAGAATAGCTGGTGATAAAAAGTATCCAAATGACACAACTACACCAATATCGAAACGATCAATATCGAAGTGTATTGCTTCAAGGTCACGTGGCTTTGGAATCTGAAATATAAAATTATAAATTTCATGATCATTAAATAATTAGAAGTATTCTTAAATAATACCTTCCAGGCTTGCAAAGTTTTTTGTGGCGCTTCATGAATAACTAAATTATTGTCTTGTGCGAATAACTTTACGGGACCTTACGATGGATTATACAGAGTTTAGTTGTTAAATTCACATTCCTCTCTTACGAAATGAAGTTAGCTTCTCGCAAAAGGAAAGATAATTATTCTTCTCTCTCCAAGGAAAGCTAGTATCTACTGTACTTTGAGTTATAGTTTTCAATCCTCTACCAGTTCTACGGTCGGGAGGGACCACAACTTCAATTGATCTGGCAAAAGAATTGATACCCTCTGATTCTTTTTATATTAGTAAAAGTGAAATTAGGCTTTATTAAATGTCAAAATGAATATCTATATTATTTTAAAATAAATTTATCAAGTATAAACAATACTTTGATGGTCTACTAAGGCAATTAACGATTCAAGAGAGAAATAATCCGATCCAAAAAAGAGTATTCGATATGGAGGTGAAACCTTTTCAAATTGTTTGTTTCGCCTCGATGAATTATGAAACGACTTGACATAAATTAACAAGATTAATAAGAATTGATTATTAAAAAAATCTCAAAAATGTATATTTTTTTTATGACGCGATAATTTAAGTAATTTCTATACGAAAAAAAAATTTTTTACTTACTGCGCGCAAAAATAATTCATTTAATATAATAAAATTACTCGGGAAACGTAATGTCAAAAAGTTATTATGTTTTAAATTTAATCTTATTTTATAACGCCAGAGCGTTGCTCGATAACTAAACATCATTTCTGGAATAATATTTTTATCATTATCGTAATTTTTATAGATGTTGAAAACCAATGATAACAAGCATCTAATTCATTCACATGACTTTAGATTATCAGCAGTGATAATTTTACAGTATTACCGTTATAACGGTAATGCAAGATAATATTGATATGTAACAATTTTTCTCGTAATGCTGTATATAATAGGTTTAGGTTTATGTGATGAAACAGACATTACTGTTAAAGGTCTCGAAGCAATAAAATCATGCGAAAGAGTGTATTTAGAGGCTTATACAAGCATTTTAATGGTTCCCAAAGAACAATTGGTATAATCCAAATATATGTATATATTTATTTATTTATTTATTCGCATAACTTTGTTCATTCTAATTTATATAGGAAAAGTTTTATGGAAAAGAATTAATAATTGCAGATAGAGAAATGGTAGAATCGCAAAGCGATGAAATATTATTGAACGCAAATTCTTTAAATATAGCGTTCTTGGTAGTTGGAGATCCTTTCGGGTATGTAATTATTACAATTCACTTCATAACATTACAAATCTAAATTTTTTTTATTTACAACAACAAAGTGCAACTACACATACAGATTTAGTGATACGAGCTCGAGAATTAAATATTCCTGTCACAGTAATTCATAATGCTTCAATTATAAATGCGATTGGTGCTTGTGGATTACAGCTTTATAATTTTGGTCAAACTATCTCTATACCATTTTTCACTGATACGTGGAAACCAGATAGTTTTTATGATCGTATTAAAGAAAACAAGGATTTAGGATTGCACACTTTGTGTTTATTAGGTAATAAATTCATGATTTTTATGTTTCCATTAATATAGATTATACTATTTTATTTTATTTTATTTTATTATTAGATATCAAAGTAAAAGAACAAAGTATAGAAAATTTAGCAAGGTTCACATTTATTTTAATTGATTCAATTATATTATATGAGAACTTTTTAACTGATACATAAATATGAAACAGAGGCAAGAAAATTTATGAACCTCCTCGTTATATGGCTATCAATAAAGCAATTCAACAACTCTTTGAAATTGAAGAAACTCGTAATCAAAAAGGTAATTAATTTAATCCAATTATTCATAACTCATAATTTATTGTTAATAATAATAATAAAAAATAAATATATATTTTTTTTAATAGTTTACACAACCGAATCACTAGCAATCGGTATAGCCCGCCTTGGTTCATCAACGGACCAAAAAATTAAAGTTGGCACTTTAAATCAATTATTATCACAAGATTTTGGACCACCGTTGCATTCTTTAGTTATTGTTGGATCTAGAGTTCATATTCTTGAAATCGATTTCATGAGATTTTTTGCAGTTGATAAACAATTGTATAATGAAATTGTAAAAAAAGATTATGGAATATAAATTAAAATATTTTTTAAGCTAAATAAATAATCGCTTGAAAGGAAAATTCCAATTACTATTCAGTCGGTTTGGCGGCTGGATCCAAACCAGCATTTTTCATCTTGACAGCTATCTCGAATAAGTAATCATAACATTCAGTCATGGCTTTTGCTTTCTCCCACGTTTCTTGACAAATAATAAACGAGTAAATAAATTATAATAAATACAAAAATAATCAAATATAATCAAATATAATCAAATAGAGTTAAAAGTAAATACATACCTCCCCAAACATAAACACCATGACGTCGAACAAGGACAGCATTTGTTTCCGGATATTCTTCCATCACCTAATAAAATAAAGTTTTGATCTATATTTATCGATCTATTAAATTTATTAAATTTATTAATTTATTAAATTTACTTAAAAATGTTTAATAATACCTGAGCCATTCTATCAGTCAAATCTTCTTCCTCCGCTGTATTTTCTATGATAGGTACCACCAACGTATCATAATAACGGAAATTTTCTTTTTTACTACCACGCCTAATCCCCTTAATCATCTCTTGATGTGTTATCTCGAAAGTACTACCAGTATATAATAATGTAGCCATCACTGCCTGTTGGGAATGAGTGTGTATACATGATCCAGCATTACGCAACGTATAAGAATTGTAAAATAACGGAGTGCAGGCTGAAGGACGGTATACTTCCGGAGCTCGAAGAATTTTACGAGTTGAAAGCTCGAGTACAAACAAGTCAAATGGCTGAATTCGTTCTTTTTGAACACCTATAACAACGAATTTTATATTACTGTATAAGCACGTAAAGATAGTGCCTAAAAAAAAAAATTATACCTGAGGGTGCTATATACACATGCTCCCTAGAAATCGTGTCGTCTTATTGCAATAAAAATTTCGAAATTTAAAAATATAATTCGAATTACTTACCCTTGGCGAATTGAAATTCCACCACTAATGCATACCAAGCAAATTTTGATTATTTTTAAGCACTAATAATTTATACAACTTTTCTTTATCCTTTTTGTAGTCTTACCCAGTTCCGGTAACCCAACCCAAGTTATAGAACAACCTACATAACTCAGGTATAAGATTTGCAGGGTGTAAAGGGTCGTTAGAACAGACTAAATCGTCCATTTTTAGTTTAAGTCAACAATGCAGGGACGTAATTAATTTTTTTTTTTTTAATAACAAAATAATTAACCTTAATTGGTTTAATCTACATACAAATATCGATAATAAGAAAACGATAATAAACGACATTGTTTATATTAATCAAAGAAGAAGCAATTTAATGTTCTTTTATTAGTAATGTATAAAAAAACAATTATAACTTTGCATGATATAAAAAAATCTCAAACTAAAAAAAATATATTTGTAAAAGCAAGACAAGAAATTTAAAAGTATAAAATGTTTTTGCAAGCTATAGTAGTCAAAGATAATGTTACTACGTATATAACCAAAGATAAAATGAAAAAAAAAGAAAATAAAGCATATTTTGGGAGAAACTATTGATACTTATCTGCTAAAAGATACTATTTATAATGTTTAAAAAAGAAAATGATTTCAAAGTATGCATAAAGAAGTACAAATCTCCCAAAAAAAAAAAAATAACATTGTACGATTACAAATGAATAAAATTTTGTTCTCTATGTTAACCAAATATATATATATAGGCAACCAATTTTTTTTTATCTAAACTCGTTCACCGCGAAGACGTCTTGCAAGTTGAATATCTTTAGGTTGAATTGTTACTCGTTTAGCGTGAATTGCCGCCAAGTTAGTATCTTCAAAAAGAGCTACAAGATAGGCTTCCGCAGACTAAAAGTTTTTAAATTATATATATATATATTAATATATTTTCATAAACGGTTACCAAAAGAATAAAAATATCAAAAGCGTAAACTCACTTCTTGCAAAGCTCCAATAGCTGAACTTTGGAATCGTAAATCTGTCTTAAAATCTTGTGCGATTTCTCGTACCAATCTTTGAAAGGGTAATTTGCGAATGAGTAGTTCGGTGGATTTTTGGTATCGACGAATTTCACGTAAAGCGACAGTACCGGGTCTATAACGATGAGGTTTCTTTACACCACCTGCAGCTGGTGCACTTTTTCGAGCGGCCTTAGTAGCAAGTTGTTTTCGTGGAGCTTTACCACCAGTTGATTTGCGAGCAGTTTGTTTTGTACGTGCCATTGTTAAAAATGTCTTGGTAAGTTAAAATAAAATTCAACCGATTATAATTTGTAAATTTGTAAAAATGTAGCAAATGTAAAAATTTTTTTGTAAAAAAAGTCGGATAAAAGTGTTGGGGTTTATATAGAAATTTCATTTGTTATGACTTCTGATCTCTGACGCGTAAATGACTGATCAAAATAAAAAAAAAAACAGAATTACGTGTCAGGTGATTGACATGTGAACAAATTAGGTTACGTATAAACACTATAAACGTACAGTGCACGTTATCCCATTTTGGACAAATCGCGTCGCGTCTTTACGTGGCTCTCGACGAAAACGGCGAATTCAATTAAAATATTATAAAAAAAGCTTTCATATGATTGGCTAATTCAGATCAATCCCCGGATACTGTACTTCTCATGATACTTTTTGATGCGTTTCATTTATAAATTTTGTATACCGATATATATACCGATGTCCAATAGTAAATTATATTAAGCTGTTTATACGCGTGTTTATATTTGCAACTAAACCGTGTATACCAACGTGTTCGTATTAATATATAGTATATGCTAGCTACACGATTGTTATATTGTAATTTTTATATATTATATATACAGTATATAGTAAAACTTATACTAATAATAGTGTTTTAATTCTAATACTTTCTTGAATATAGTTAAATATTTCAAATTTTTTTTTTAAATTATTTATTTATTTACAAGCTATTATTAATTATAAAATAATTTATTATTAAAAAAAACCATAAAAAAAGCTTTTTTTAATAACTATCTTAAACTATAGGCAATTTTAGACAAATTTGTTTAAAAAATTGCTTAAATTTGTTTATAATTTAAGCATAATGGAAGTTTATTTTGATTGGCTAAAATTTGAATAAACGTGATTGGCGATGATTATTTATTTATACAGTTAATTGTAATTTTTAAAATACTTTTATTAGTAAAAATCATCACACTATATAAAAAATTTTTTTGTAATATATGACAAAACAACAAACTTAAAAAATTTATTTTTCATCTTTAAATTTAATAAAAGATATAGTAAGATATAGCAGTTCAAAAAACTAGATAAGAAGTGAATATTTTGAAAAGTCAGGAAAATAGTTTGGCAATCTAAGCAATTAGTAAATAAAATTGTAAGATTTTGTTTTAACTAAACTTGTTTATTTTATAAATAAAAAAAAAATTACTATTTTTTTTTTTTTTTTTTTAATTCTTTGACAGTCTTGCCAGTGTTTAATTTATTTAAGACTATATTTTGATAAGAGTTGAACTCTTTTAAACAATACATAAGGTAAATATCCCTAATTTGACGCAGCGCCTAATTTGACACACTAACGATATCTCGCATTCCTGTGATCTAAATTATGTGATTTTGGTATCATTTGACTCGGCTTATTTAGATAAGTCGAATAATACTGAAATTATGTGATTTGGATCACAGAAACGTGAGATATTATAATTTAATTAATTTAATTGATTTACTTAAATTTTCTTGCTTAGGTAGATTAACTTTCTTGCGTGTAGTTCTGACAAAAAATAATAGTAACATGTTAAAATCAGCTTTTCATATTAAATACCCAATACTTTATTCATTAAAAATTGTTTTATTTTTATTAATAAGTTTATATAAATAATAATTATACTATAATAAAAATTTAAAGAAATGTGGCGGCTTAGTGAAGTGGTCAAGTTGTCACCCTCTCCAAGTAGCAAGTCTAGGTTCAAATCTCACGGACGACGAAAGTTTGAAAAATAGGCTTGCGTTACGGTAACGGATTTTCATTAAGTTGGGGCTTAGATTAACCTGTAACTTCGGGTCACACCAATGCTCTGTATTGG